TTAAATTCTGACAACTAGATCTGATTCTTATTGTTTTCTCTATTTCTAAGAGTATTCCATTTAATAAGCAAGTGAGTAAATTTTACAGTGTAATTAGAATAATGATAGCGACGACCTTGGGTATTCAAAATGACTGAAAAGGTGCAGACAGCAACAATACCCGTTAGAACACATTTTCAGGGATAATTAGGTATCTGTTGGGGCAACTGATATGCTCCGTTAGGTTGAGCTGAATTGTACTAATTGACATATAATTAATAGAACAATTAAAACACTGGACTGCAAAAAGTGCCAGTAATCTTAGAGTGAGACACTCATAAATACTCACCTAGAATAAAATGGGACGTCATTGTCTGAACCCACGCCATCTGACCCGAAGCCCCCACATCTTAAATACGCAAAACACATGGGAAGCAAAGAGGGTACAGATTATGCTAACAGTGCTGAAGAACACAATTTGGATGTTTCTACGATGACTTGAGATCCCCAACTGGCAGGTTTAGACATGGGGTCCCTAAACTGCATGTGGTGTGGTGAGCAGGTTTTTACAGGGATTGGCTGAGAAAAGCTGTAGGACCGACTGCGGGGAGAGAAGAATGTCCAGATGGAACTGAATTTCCGTGCTCTAAGAGCTCTGGGGAATGTCATAGAAAAAGCAAAAGGAAGGGGCAATGACTCAAGGGCTTATGAAACAAGAATATTGTTGGAGAGCATGTGACCTGGCTCCAGACCTGGAGCTTCAAATAGCACCCACCATGACCTTGACGCGATGAGCACTTGGTGTGTCTGCTGCGTGTTCGTTGTCCACTGCACTAAACCATCTGCCACTCGGCCTTCGCAAGGATCACTGTCCTTCCACAGAAATGTCTCCTCTGATGGTTCCAAACCTCTCGAATCTTTCCTGTCTCCCAAAATTATTTTTATGATGTTTGTAACCAAGCATTTTTTAATAGAAGTGTTTAAATAAATAAGCAAACAAGAAAAGGGCATGTTTGAGTACCTACAGGCCACTTTAGTCAAGGAACCAGACGATGTTTGGGAACACCTGTGCTCTCCTGCAGTGTGGCCTTTTAGGACAGTGACTGGCCTGTGTGTGACCTGCTATCATATGACTGTTTCTTAAAAAGCAGGGCTTTCTTAAACTAAGTCAGCAGTATCTTATCCATTTTCAAGGGCAGAAAGGAAGAGAAATAATATTGAAACCCACCACTGTACCATAGAGGCTTCAGATAGCAAATATCTCCATAGGCCTTCACTTACAAATACAGTCGGGGTGGGAGGATGGGGCTGAAGGGTCGGAGACGTAAATCTCACCAAGAAGGATGAGAGGGTACAAATCGTTTTCCCTCCTTTATCTAAATATTCGATGTCTGCTGCTTGCTACAATGCAAATTACCACAAATCTAATTCGAGTCGCTTCTGAGTTAATCAAAGAGGGGACTTTGAATACAATTTTTATAGCTACTCACGAAGACATGCTAACTAAACAAGGCTGAAAATAGGCATGAGAATATGTCCGCCTGCATAATGACTTCATGTGCTTGTGTGTGCCTGAGTATATGTATGGCGACGCCGTTTTTATCACATGTGCTTGGACAGCAAATTTACTTGTGATTTCCACAGTTTCCTATAAAAATCCACATACAGAAAAGGAACTATATATAATTTAAGAATTTTGATTTACAACTTTGTTTCCAAAATGGTTATATATAACATAAGGCCTCTGAGATTACTAAGAAAAGATCCAAAATTTATAGAAACATTTGGCACTGAGAAGATGAACAAACACAAAAAGAATGTTAGAGAATCCAGTGTTATTTGTCATCTGGTTATATATGAAAGTTTCTTTACAATACGAATTAATGAATATTTTATTAAATCATTTTATTTAGTATATCCTGTTTTCAGATTTTATTTTTTAAATTATAAATGAATGTTGTTATTTGTGAGATAATCTGCAGAATCATAAAAGGCAGCACTTAGAAGTGTACAGAACATTTAAAAGTGAAAAATTAAGAAAAATAATTTTGAAAACATTAATTTGAATTTAAAGGTTCTGGAAGTATTTTACATGTATCAATAACAGTTCAAAGGTCTAACTCTTTTTAAAAATTAGGTTTAAGTAAATATCTTGGACTACAAGATTATTTGACTTTTATCAAATGATCTCTTTAGCATTCATCAAGAGAATAGTCCATTCCATTGCTTTTGCCTTAATTCTTAGCTCTTTAAGGAAGAAACTAGTTTTGAGAAACTAAGGGGTTCATCTAGGCCAGGGTAAAGAAAAGGTAGACGCACCCAGAAATAACTTCCCAAAATAGAGCATCGAATGACTGTTTCATGGTATTTACCAGAAAAGAAAAATACTGAAACAATTTGGAGCAAATTTACTGAAACAAATAGATCTGAGCATTTTCTAAATAGGATGACAATATAATTTATGATCCAAACTGGGAAACCTTCAAGAGGGAAACAGGATACTATAATTCTGCCAAGACAATTAAAAGCATAAACTAGGGCTCAGTTGTCTTAGAATTAATCTTTAGACAATCGACATTTAACCATTTCCCTGAGTTGCTGTATCACTGGTCATACGTTTACATGCAATACAGTCTTGCATGATGAGGCACAGCTTATTTGTGTGGTACTCACATGGGTTACATGTTTTATGCTACAGATTTTCCTGTGATTGAGTGTGTACAGGTTTGTCCCTTTGCCTTCATGATTTTTTGTTGAGTAGGCTTGTGACGCTTCTGGCCAAGATGTGTTGCATCCTGGGGGGTTCTGGGAAAGGTTTCTTTATTAAGTTAAAAAAAAAAAAAAAAAAGACCCACGGAAGAAAGAGTTCCTCTTGATTAAATGCATGTGATACGTGAAACTACATAGTCATTTTACATCCATGCAAGGAACTAGTCCACGGACTAAGCTGAGGATGGCAGAGTGAAAAATGGAAAGGACTCAGGGTTTTTTCATTTTTGAGCCAGTATCTAAGAGATACTGTGAACTTAAGATTGTTGCTCTTACTGTTTAAGCAGTTCTGAGTGACCTACGATCATAAGCATTTTAACTGACATGACAGTATCTGCAAATTTAATTAAAAATGTTGCTTATTTTCTTTCCCTGAGATGTAATAATAAGAAAAGGGACACAGATAAACAGATGATAGATATCCTTGGCAGAGCATTCAATTTCACACATCTCAAAGCCATACACGTAGTAGATGAGTTTAAAAGATAAAACGTCTATAGAAAAAAATAGAAATTAAATCTATGATTAAATGACATTTAAACTTTAGCTTATTATAATTTCTAATGTCTTCGGCTCTATGATGTTGGAGATAGAGTTTGTATTCCTTATAGAAAAGAACCAGTTGGTACCCTTTCATACCTAACTTCTCAGTATTAAATATGTAACATCTTGATATCTTTAGATTTTATTTCTTTAGAAATTTGCAAATTTCCCTGTAAGCACTGAGGAACAGGCATCATAGAAAAACTAAGGTGAGTAATGGTAACTGCCTCATCACTGAGCCATTGGGAGTTGTACTGCACAGCGCAAAAAGGTGCCCCGACTTCAGGACATAGCAGGAGTGTATCCAGACACGCAGGGCCTTTGAAGCCCAGAGCTCCCTGTTCCCCAGCAGGAAGGAAGGGGAGCCATAGAATCCTCGCAGCACCTCAGTCAACTTATTCGGCTGCAGGATAGGATGAAAGACCAAATATTTTTCCTCAGTGGAAACCACTTAAATGATGTTAATGGTTGACACCTACCAGCGTCTGAAGTGAAGCATTTACTACAAGCTCTCCAGAGATTGTGAAATAAATGCAAGATGTTTTACACCAGATATTTATAGAAATAACCATTTCACATCATGGATAGACAATGAGTCGTGTGTGTGTGTGTGTGTGTGTGTGTGTGTGTGTGTGTTGTAGTTACTGAGTTCCATACCATTAAACTGCCTAACATTACAAAATATGAAGTTAATGCCTTCAATGAAATAAGATTGTTGTATATATTTTTATTACAAATGCATAAATGATCATTACGTTTTTCCTGATAAAGAAACTGAGTTAAATATTAAGAGAAATAAAGAGCAAAATAAAGAATAGGTGTATTTTATTTCTGTTAAATCTCAAATATATTAAATAACCCAAAATTATGTGTTACGTGAAAGAACATGAGGATACTTATCACCATATAACCTGAATATGGCAGATGGTCTGGTATCTAATAATGATATTAACTTCTGAACTTTCTCAATGAGCCAGGTCCAAGTTTAACGTGTTTCCTATATTAAAACCCTTATATATCACCTGTGAGCACGACCGCCCGCATTTTCTAGATAAGAACCGAAGCAAGAGGGTCAATAGTTCATCCAGTCATCGCAAAGTAATAAAAGATGGGCTCAAACTAAGGCTGTGTAACGTTAGAGTCTGTATATTTCACATCTGTTGAACAAATTAATGGTGTTTGCTCAGATCAAACTTGAAAATAGTAGCTGCAGACATTTAATAATTCTTTGGGTAAAATCAAATTTCAGATAGGTCAATGGAAGGGAAGCCTTCTGAAATCCCCTAGGTATTAGAAGTCACGCCCCAGGTTTCTCCCTTAGAAATTAGAAGTCATGCCCTAGGAAGAAAGAGGTCTGCTTTAGTAAACAGGGAAAAGAGAAAAAGAAGCATCAAAACAAAGAAGGGCAACGCGTGGAAAGAGATGGAGGCGCGTCCAGACCTAAACACCCCGCCGGACGCGGCAGGAGATCCGGGGCGGGGAGCGCCAGCGGCCCCATCCCTTTTCCCACGGGCCTGGCAGCCCAGGACACCGGCGCTCGCGTCCCGGGCAGGGGATTCCGAGGTCCCAGGGCCCGCGGCACCCGGCGCTCCCTCACCGAGCCTGACCACGCCTTCCCGGGGACCTTGTGGGCGGGGCGTTCGCCAGGCACCGCCCACTCTCCGCTCGCGTGGACCGGCCGGGCTTCCTATTGGTCGAGGCGCGAGCATGCGCGTTTCGGCCACGCGCGGGCGCGGAGTTGGCGTGGGCGTCGGCAGGTGAGCACCTGCGGTTGGAGAATTTCTGGGTAAAGTTTGAGTTAACTCCTGAAATGTTAGTCAAACGTCCAGCTTTTAGTAGGAGTAACTTTATTTTTCACACAGAGGTAATAACAGTAATTTGTGAATGTGGGAGGTAGAGGAGCAGGGAAAGAAGAAGTCAGAATCAAAAACGATGTAATTAATCTCCACGTATTAAGGACAGAAGCCCAAAGCTAACACCTACTGCTCCCAGCCAAAAACAAACAAAAGAAAACATAAACACCCTTAATGGGATTTTTGCCAATATGACTACTGATTGTACAAAGAATGACACAGTATATTAGAAGCACCCAAAAAATACAGTACCCAATTAAAATTATAAGAAGGACCCGCCGGAGTGAGGTGCTGCCCCGCCGCTCCTCCGCCCGGCCTCGCCCTGCCTTGTCGGGGACCCGCCTCTGGGAAAGGGGGAGCAGCACCGCTTGATAAGGTGGCTGCAGGACGCAGGGGCGCCTGGACCTCTGAGTTGCTCCCAGGAAGTGATTATAAGTTGTTAGTTATAAGAAAGAATGTTGTCACCATTACATTTTCACAGTGCTGGGTAACTCCTAACCGTTCCTTGCCATATATATATATAGTTTGGAATTAGGGTCATTCTTTCATTGAACAGATATGTACCTGCCCTTTGCCAGATGCTGTTCTGATGCCTAGGGACAGAGTTGAATTAGATACATGCAGTGAATTGACTTTTTAATGTGATTACCAATTACTTTCCTTAAGGCTTAATTTTTTGGTCAAATATAATTGTCCAGAGGAGCATAAACTTAACTGGTAGTCGCAACCCAAAAACCTAAATTATGGCTTGAGTTTCACTTTAAATCTTTCTTTATAAATCTTTCCTGAAAGTTCTTCAGGACAACACTGTGTAATGAGTATGAAAATTCTATAAATGAACTTTATTTTACTCTTGATACCTAGAAAAGCATAAATGTTTGAGTTCATTGGAAATGATACACTTTTAATGATAATATAGTCTCCGAGAATATAGCCAAGTTGACCTGCGTACTAGTAGATTGCTCAGCATTAGAATGAAAGCTTCGTGAAGAAATCTGCAATTAGTTGAGATTTTTTTTTTCTTTCTCAAAAAGAGAACAACACAAAATGCCCATTTTGTTAGCCCTGCTGTTTCAGTCGCTGTGTAATTAATCGCATTTTATCACATAGATTCAGTACTCCCCCACCATCCACCGTTTTGCTTTCCACCGTGTTAGTTACAAAAAATTATAAGTGCAGAATTCGAAAAAAATAAACAACGTATAAATCGTAAGTCGTGCACCATTCTGAATAGTGTGCGACATCTCTGTCCTGCCTGGGATGCGAATCTTTCTTTGTCCAGCGTGTCCACACCGCATATGCTGCACTTAGTAGCCATCTCAGTTGTCAGACCAGCTATCGCAGTATCACAGTGTGCTTGTGTTTAAGTCACCCTTATCTTACTTAAAAATGGTCCCAAAGTGCAAGGGTAGTGATGCTGGCAATTCGAATATGCCAAAGAAAAGCCGAAAGTGCTCTTCTAAGTGAAAAGGTACAGAGTTCGGTACTATCCCTGGTTTTTGGCATTCGTTGGAGGTCTTGGATTGTATCCGCCATAGGGAACTACTGTGGTATTACTATCCTCGCTTTAAAGATGAATAGTCTAGGCCCAGGTCAGTTAAGTAACTTGCTCAAAGTTGCTCATCTCATTATGGCACATTCTGGGCCTAAAACTCAGGGAGTCTTGACTCCAGATTCTCCCTTCAAACCCCTGTGTTTCTGAATTAGGGATTCATTTGTCTGTTACTCCTAGTTCAATGATGAACGTTCTATCTCTTTTTAAGTACATGTAGTGTTCACGCCATCGACCCTGGTCATTACTTTGGCATATTTCTGTAAGGTGGGTATGGATATATCCTACTCTAGAGTTTTTGTGCTATAGTATATCTTACTCGTCTTTTTTTGTAAACGAAGGGACATTTCCCCATTTAACATTTGGGAGGAGCATTGTATAATTTTGAAGGGCCAAAAGCATCTCAGAGAAAAGATAGATAAATTCGGTGTATTTTTATTAATACGATTTTTACTTGTATTTTTGTGTGGATGTCGTTGCAGTCTTAAAGATTTGAGGGACTTGATATTTTGCAAGTCTGTTATTGTGTAATAACTTTTTTTTCATTTTTTATTTTCCAGTGCTATATAGCCATAGCACTAAAAGTCTCCTCATCACTTTGCGGACACGCTGTAACTATGACAATGTTTAAAGCTCTCTTAAAGGAGTGGCCGTTTGTGGCTCTTTGTATGTCCTTTGGTGGAGAGGAGCTGTTTCTTCAGCCTCCGGGTCACCCTCACGTGGCTTAGTGTAGAGTCGTGATAGTTGCTCATAGAAGCATCTTCGTGTGATGCCGGGTTCTTAACCAAGGCAACACGTGAGGATCCCCGTGGGATCCTTCACAGACTGTATGTGTCCAAGTCTTACCTCCCTAGAGAGTCTGATTCAGTGACTTTACTGAGGGAGCCCTGGCCCCCTGGGTTATTTTAATAAGGAGCTGGGTTGAGGACCATGGGTGTAAAGTTGGCACAAGGAATTTGTCTCATACGTTTTCTTGCTGATCACATGGCTTTGAACCCATGCTTAATTTTACAAGTCATGCAAAGTAGTGTTAATAAGTACCAGCCCACCAGAGGTCATTGGAGTGGGATTTAAGATTATTTATTAATTTACAAGTTTATTGCCAAAGGAGTTACTGGAATATGCGCTGGAGGTTGGAAGGTATGGGTTTGAAGGGTGGTGTACAGCCGCCCACACACTGTCGCCTGTCAAGCCTCTACAGAGCTACATAGGACCTAGAGCTCTTTCATGTCCTGCACTGAGCTGTTTGTCTTCAGACTTCTTGTTATGCTGTTTCAGACGGCTTAGGCTGCAGTAGCTGGCAGAGGTTTTTATACCACAAAATGACATGTGAGCCATCAAGTTATCAACCTCACGAATGCTCCTACAACATGGAAGCCAAGAGAAGAGCGCCTCAGGAGAGTATCAGCTGGGTTGAACGCTGGCAAGACATTGGATTTGGCAACTTTAAGGCACTGGTGACCTTGGGAAGGCCAGCTTCGGTGGAGCAGGGATAGAACCTGAGAGGCATTGAGGAGAAGGCGAATGATACAAGGGAAAAAAAAAACAAACCCTTTGCAAAGTATTTTGCTGAGAGGTGCCAGGTCAAAATCAAGTTCATTATTCATTGCACACAGAATGCCAGGCACTGTTAGGGAGTTGGGGGGAATACAGGGCTAAGTGTGACATGTGCCCTACCCTCAGGGAACTTACGAGCCATTGAGAAAGTCACAGAAGCACGCAGGAGGGGCATTTTCCCGTCTTGTGAGTTAAATGAGTTAAGACGCTTGGAACAAGGCCAGACACGTAGTAAGTCCTCAGTGTGTCTAGCAATAATAACGACATTTACTTACGTGCTATGTACTAAGCATAATTTAACTCACTTTATCTTTACACTCTCAGTGTGTCTAGCAATAATAACGACATTTACTTAGCACGTGCTATGTACTAAGCATAATTTAACTCACTTCATCTTTACACCATTAGTCACTAGTATTGATCCTGTTTACAGGTGAAGAAACTAAGGCATAGAGAGTAATGTGTCAAAGGTCTCAGCCCTTAAGTGGCAAAGCCAGTAGCGTCTGTGCGGTCTGGTTGCAGGCTGTGTAATTTAGCCACTAACTGTGCTGCCTCTCTGTGTGCCTGTGTGTGCACACAGGCACATGTCAGAGCTAATGGCGTTTCCTCCAGATGTAGCCAAGCTGAGAGAGAGCTAAGCCTGGGGAGACGGCCTCATTGGGGAGATACCGAGTGGGGGAGTTGGGGGAGGGCAAGCGTGAACCGGGCTGAGAGGTGTGGAGGCGGGGGCAAGCGTGAAACGGCCAAGCGTGAACCAGGCTGAGAGGTGTGATGGGGGTGGGGGCAAGCGTGAACCGGGCTGAGAGGTGTGATGGGGGGAGGGGCAAGCGTGAACCGGGCTGAGAGGTGTGACAGCTTGGTGGTCTCACCACGTGGAAGTCTGAAGTCCGAAGGAGAGATAGGGAAGGGAATGAGACAGGCTGAGCTGAAGGTTGACAGGATCAGGTGCTGAAGTCCCAGACTCCGATTAGAGACTTCAGATGTCACCCTGCGGCAGTAAGTGGGAAGCTTTTGAAAGACTTGTAAGGACTGAAAGGACTTGGAACCTCTCATGTGAAAGGCCTAAGGGCAGGTGGGGAGGGTGAGGGGGGAGACACGTTGGAAACTGTTGAGTTTTCAAGAGAAAAAGTAGGAAGAACCAAAGGTGACCTCAGAGAGCAAAGAAGAGAGTTTAATGAATTAAGGAGGATTTGGTAAGAGATTTACTGTAAAAATCTCTGCTCCTGAAATACTGTTTTTTTCTTCTTTTCTAGAGATGATAAGTAGCCAAGGATTTAAATGGTGCAAGACCATTTTTCTAAAGCTGACTTTATCTTTTAACGTTTCTTGGAGAGCGCATTTGTTTGGAGGGAGTTGGGTAAACTCTTAGCAACGAAAAAGACACCCTCCTGATGTAATACTGCACAGGCCTCATGTGTCCTCTGCTCCCTTCCTGTGCCCTGCCCCTCCCAAGCCGCCCTGTGGCTTGTCGGCCCCCTGAGCCCAGGGGCCCTCATTCCTCCTGTCAGTGGGGAACTTTAGGGAGTTCTTGACCAATTCTCAAAGAAATATATATATATATGTTGTTATATATGTGTATGTATATTATAAATGTAAATACATACACATACATATGTATGACTAAAGACTTCCTGGTACAATATAGACACTAGTGTTGACGGTGGATATTTAACTCTGAGGAACTTATGCTGCTAAAATTACTTTAATAATGAAAAAATAATTTAGAATTCTTATATTGAATAATATATATAATATATTGAATTTTGGGATTATTGCCTTTAAAAATGAACCTATACAACATACCAGATTATATATTAATATAACTTTAAGATGATTATTATCAAAGCTCTATTTCTGATATTTTTAAGTGCTGATAAAGTTTACGTTTTATGAGGCCGGTATTGTAAAGTAGATTTTGAAATTTCATTTTGATTTTTTTTAATATTCACTTCCAACATTGCTTTTGGCTGACGAGACTGACATCTTCAAATTTTGAAGAGTTTATGTATTCTCTTTCAGGGCAGATATGAAATAATCTGTGGAGTATGCGTATATGCTTGATAATAAATGGGTTTTCTTACAGTGATTACTGAAAACAACCTTTAGAATCGGTGGCGTGGGTCCCACGCCTTGCATAGCTAATGAAGTAGATCGTCTGAGCTCCCAGTGCTGGTCGTGGGGGAGGGTGGAGCACACATGCAGACCTCAGCCCTGCTCTGCAGTAGCATGCTGACAGGGGCAAGAGTTACTCTAATCTCATAAGGGATTACAAATCGCTTTTAATCCTGTTGGCATTCAAAATAGCCGCCTCTATTTCTTCCTGAAATGAAGACAGTTAAACATGGTATCTAACTTACCAGTAGGACAAGAAATATTAATGTTTATAAAAAGGTTTATAGGATTCTTTACTTTGAAGAGCTATTTTGCAAACACAATTTTTTTAAGTAAAATCTTCAGTCTTTTTGTTCTATGACTTTATTCTAGAAATCCTTGACATAATGATCAGAATGCTGTGCCTTGTCTAGAATGCTAAATTTTAAATAGGCAATGAGAGGACATAGATTTAAGTATATAGAAAAGCAGTAAATGGGGAGCCTGGGGATGTGGGCTGCCGTCAGTCAGGACTGTGCTTGTCAGGCCTTGAATCATGATTTTATCCCGAAGGTGGTAAGTTCCTAAAGGACGTAGAGTAAGGACCGTGACATTGTGTGGTGTGCAGGGCTGTTAACCAAGGTGAGATGCCACTGCTTGATGATGGGGTGATGGGACTGGGGGAGAAAGGGACAGCTTTGAGATACTAATTATTTCTATCAGAATAGCTAGTGTAGAGGTTGTGGCTCTTCACTAGAAGCAGATAGCAGAGCATGTTTCGTTGGAGTCTCAAACAACAGAATATCCGTGTAGCTCCTTCCGTCATTAAGTTTCTGTTTGGATTTCACGCTGCTGGAGAAGCGCTCCTTGAGCATCCGTGACAGTCATCTGTTGCTCATGGAACACCATGAGCTCCCCTCAGAGTCTCAGCACCCCCGCAGGGGACCGCGAGACTGGCCTGGCCAAGTGGATATGAACACTGAAGGGCCTCGCGTGAGCCCCCAGTTAGTGACGACCCCCCAGTTAGTGACCACCACCGCAGCAGCTGTGGAGGGTCGATGGAGGCACGCCTTGCCACCACCACCACCACCGTCTGGGTCCCTAAATGACACACTGCTGACCAGTGGGGGACGTATAATGTGAATAAGAAATAAACTGGTCACACTCAGCCTCTGAGCTTACTTACTACAACATGGTCCGAGCTAACACACCGTTCCATGTAAACGAGCCGGCCTACCCCATTCCCCGTCTTCTGGGCCTTGACTGTGCTGTAGTTTATTTTTATATTACCGTCTGGGTCCCTAAATGACACACTGCTGACCAGTGGGGGACGTATAATGTGAATAAGAAATAAACTGGTCACACTCAGCCTCTGAGCTTACTTACTACAACATGGTCCGAGCTAACACACCGTTCCATGTAAACGAGCCGGCCTACCCCATTCCCCGTCTTCTGGCCCTTGACTGTGCTGTAGTTTATTTTATTTTGTTTTTTTATAGCGCTCATCACCACCTGACATATGTGCTTGTTTTACTCTCTTCCCTCGTCACCCCTCCCCACCCCCATATAAACTCACTGAAACTTAAGCCCCGTGCCAGGCCAGAATCGCTATCTGTTAGATGATTGAATGAAGTCAGCCACTTCTCTTTGCAATTTTAACAGAAACAAGGAAGGAAATGCCATATTAAGTTTTATCAATTCTCATTTGAGATGAGTTAGTACTTTTAAAAAAGGGCTTTGTGTGTTTTAAGGTGATAAACATGAAGCGTTATTTAACAGAAACGTCTTTTATTCAAATCATTCAGTTTGTGGAAAGTACGTAGCAGCGTGTATGGCCCGCAGTGCTGGAAGGCGTCTGGCCGGATGGAAGCCTCGTTATGCTGAACTCTTACGGATTCTAAAGGCGATTGGCACCGAGACGTGAAAAGCGGCTTCTCTTTCTGCTTAGGAGTTGCTGCAGGCAGGACTCACTACTGTGCCTCCTGTCTTTCGCCCAGGGAGTGGCCTCTGCTCCCTTCCACAAAGATTTTTGGAATAAGATACTTCTGTATACCTAGGCGCATGGGAAGGAATTGAAGGCAAAAGCGGTCATTTTAAGTTGAAAATCTCCAAGTAAGCAATATTAGACAACATAACGGAGCCCTTAATTTTCGCATACCCTCCTGTGACCATCCAAAGAGCGTCATATTTAAGAAAATCTTGAGCACGCACTGGTCTGACGTTCACTGACCCTGAGCAGCGGTGGCTGGTGAGAGCACAGTGACCAGACACAGCAACCGCACAGCAAGTGCGTGGATTCCGTCTCTCTGTGTGAAAACTTAGTTTTCATTTGAGTTTCAAAAACACTTATCAACTGCAGTTTGTAAACTTGTTTAGAAAGTACAAATATTGGCTCAAACATAAAATATTTTTCTGAATTTGAATAAAAACTTGAAACTGAAGTTTTTCCTTTTTGTTATTTTAGACACTGACGAATGAATCAAGAAAATAATGATTATCACCAGTTACTACGTGATCATTACTGGCTGTTACCAGTTAGTACATGAATGTACTTTTGCCATACGCTACAGGGCATGTAAAATGACATACTCTGGGGACCAAATATGCTGGATTTTTGTTTGAGAAGTTTGGGAGGAGGAAGTAGCAAATGACAGAAGAATGGCCAGTTAGAAAATTCAAGAATGTGATGCCCTGGAGACCGATAGTGTTTCAAGGAGAAAGCAGCAGCTGGGGTCATCACTGTCATAGGTGAAATAAGAGGTGACCCGAGAGGTATCTCTAGGACTTAACAATACGCAGGTCACGGTGGCCAAAGAGTGATTTTGGTGGCGCGGTGGCACTAAAGCCTGACGAGCGAGTGTCAGAAAGAATGCACAGGGAGAGCGGAGCCCCTAGTTACTAACATACAGTACGCTCGGATGCATGAATTCAAGTTCAAGACATCGAAAAATAAATAAACATCTTTAGGAAGCAGGATAAAAAAATAATGAAATAAAGCAAGTAGAAGAAAGAAGAACATTAGGCAATGAGTACAAAAAATGTTTTAATAAAATCCAAATGTATGTTCTTTGAAATAACTAATAAAGACAATGGAGAAAAAGAGATATAAATGTCATGATCGAAAAGGGAGATGTAACTATACATGCAAAGAATTTTTTAAATGTAAAAGTATACAATGCTAGATACCATCTGTCAGCCCCGTTTCTACATCCTCATGATATAGAGGAAAAATCGTGGGATCTGAAGCCAGAAGACTTAGGGCCTGCAGGGCTAGTGGAGGAGAGTGGTTAAAAGCATAGACTAGAGCATGTTACACATCAAAGTGGCTTATTACCTCAACATCATAAAAACAAATAGGACTTTAAAATACTTCAACTATGTTCGTCTCAATAGATGCAGGAAAAAAGTTGACAAAATTCGGCATTCATTTATGATAAAAACTCAACAAAACGGGTGAAGAGAGAACATAGCACAACAAAGACCACACATGACAGAGCCACGGCTAACATGCTCAATGCTGAAAAGCTGAAAGCTTTTTCTCTAGGAAAGGGTACAAGACAGTGATGTCCACTCTCTCCACTTTTAGTCCGAGGCACAGCAATTAGGCAAGAAAAAGAAAAGGCATCTAAATTGGAAAAAAAGTAAAACTATTTGCAGATCACGTGACACTATATATAGAAAACCGTAAAGATTCCACCAAAAAAACTTAGAATAAGTGAATTCAGCAATGTTGCAGAATACAAAATCAATATACATAAATCTGTGGTATTTCTATCCACTAATAACAGTATCAGAAATTAAGAAAACCCATTTATAATTGCATCAAAAACAATAAAAGGCCTAGGAATAAATTTAACCAAGGAGTTGAAAGACCTCTCTACTGAAAACTATAAGGCACAGATAAAAGAAATGGAAGAAGACACGAATAAATGGAAAGGTATTCTGTGCTCATGGATCGGAATATGTGATTAATATGTAATTAATATTGTTAAAGTGTCCGTACTATACAGAGTAATCTATAAATTCAGTGCAATCCCTATCAAATTCCAGTGGCATGTTTTACAGATCTAGAACAAATCTAAAATTTCTGTGGAACCACAAAAGATCCCGAATAGCCAAAGAAATCTTGAGACAGAAGAATCGAGTTGGACATGCTCCTGGATTTCAAGCTACAGATGACCCTTAAACAAGGCGGGTTTGAACTGCATGGGTCATTTGAGCTGTGCCAGTCAGTCGAAAAAATCTGCGTGTAAGGGGACCTGTGCAGTTCGCAGCCACGTTCGTTTAAGAGTCATCTGTGCAGCACAAGGTGATCGTAAGCAAAGTAGTGTGTGTTGTCATAAAAACAGACACCAGATCAGTGCAACAGAATTGAGAGCCAAGAAACAAACCCACACATACGTGGGTAATTAGTTTATGATGAACCAGAAGCATAGAACGGAGAAACGATAGTCTTTTCAATAAATGGTGTTGGGAAAACTGGACAGCCACATTCAAAAGAATAAAACCACTATCTTATATACAAAAATTAATGCAATGAAATAATGACTTGAATGTAAGACCTGAAACCATAAAATTCCTAGAAAAGAATATAGTAAGCTCCTTGACATCAGGCTTAACTTTTTTTGTTTGTTTATTTGTTTTTTGTGCATCTGACTCTAAAGGCAAGGGAAACAAAAGCAAAAATAAATGTGACTACATCAAACTAAAAAGCTTCTTCACGGCAAAGGAAATCATTAAAACAAAAAAGCAACCTACTGAATGGCAGAAGGTATTTGCATGTACCTTTAAAGCTGCTTATATCATATTCCTAGTGAAACTATTAATATTAGTGTGGACTCATGTCAGTTTGTTTGATTCATTGAGTTATAATCCACTACTATCATTATTTTGATGCTCAAATGATCCCAGATTTGGCTAGTAGGAAATTACGCATGCTGGCCCCATTAGCTTTGTGACATGTCATCAGTAGCCCTTAAACCCTTCTTTGCTTTTTGGCCCAAGATGTTCCAAACTCATCTTGTACTGGTCCCCTACCTCTGCTCAGGTGCTGGCCATTTCTCCAGGGAGCCCAGGTTCCTTTCAGTGGATAGTGATCTTCTAAACCAGGGTCTGGGTTCTAGGTGTTGGGGTCTCACTACTCCTGGGCAATCTCACTGAACAGAGCTGGGGGATATAGAGGAGCCCTCCTTCTGATGCTCAGACTCTGACACACCAAACCCATCTGTGCCCACTTCCACCTTGGCTCCTGGCATCCCGTGCCAGCTGACTGCACGCGCACACGCACACGCACACGCACACCTCCTGACTTAATCTCTGACATTTCTCATTGGGTCAGTCCTTCCCTGTGTGGATTTCTCTCCTCCCACCTAAGGTTTTGACGCACCCAGCCAAGCTGCTTCTCTCGTGGACACCCTGCCACTCTCCCCAGCCTGCTTGGGCTCCGTCATCTTGCCCCAGGCTTGGCTGCTCTCCAAGGATGGGCTGCTCACGCGGCCTTTCCTGCAAGTCCATGCTCCTCTCCACGAGATTCTTCCATGCTCTTCCTTGTTAGAGTTACTGAATTCATATTTACTGCTGTGTGTAATCCAAGGTGTCAGTACATCCAAATTTAATCATCTTTTCAATATTATGATAGGAAAACTGTCTTTTTATTTCTTCAAGAGTATCTTGGCTATTCTTGGTTTTTTTTCCCTTCCATATACAACTTAGAATTAGCCTTTCCCATTTCTCACAAAGCACTTTGGGATTTTGATTGGTATCATCGAATCGATGAATCAATTTTTGAAGAACCGAAATCTTTATCATAGCTCTCCATTTATGTAGGTCTTTATTGTCTTCTATTAGTTTTATAATTTTTGATACAGGTCTTACACATCTGTTTTTAATTTTACTCTTAGATATAATATGTCTTCCATTGTTTTCTAAATTATGTCTTTTGAAAAGTTACATGTTCTAAATCATAATTACTGATGTGTTACTTACGTATATACATATATATCTATATCTTACCAATATTCGTAGAGACTATTTTACTTTTTTATAATTAAATTTCTAGACTTCTAAAATTATTTACTTTAACAAAATATGAATAGGTATTGAATACTAATTTTTTATCTGTTGAAATAATGAACAGGTAATGATACTAGTTCCTTTCATCAGTTCAGGTAGAAAGGAAATTTATAGATGTTGCTAGTTATAAATTTTGCATTGCAAGTAAAAAGAACTCAGTTTAGTTATTATTTTTTAGTACACTGCAGGACTCACTCTGATAATTTTAGTATTAAATGTTTACCTTATTATTCAAGAATGAGATTGTCCTGTACTTTTTTACTCTCATCCTGTTCTTGCCTAGTATCAAGCTTATCACTTAGAATATGAGCTATTTGGGGGAAGATTAACCTCTTATTTAAACTTTTGGAATAGTTTATATGAAATTTGAATGATATAACTCTAAAATTTTGGTAGAACTCATCATAATATTACCATGGCCTGGTGTTTTCTTTATGGGACTACTTGGGACCACTGATGTAATTTTTTATGGTTATATAACTATTCATGCTTTCTATTTCTTCTTGAGTTAGCTTTGGTGCATCATCGAGTTAAAAAGTTAACATAGCAAGCCTGAGATTGCAATCCTTGCAAAGGCTTGCTTGCAGGGTTGGCCCCGTGCTGGCTTCTGGGAACATGGATTTTGGCAGAGCGTCTACCATTCCCAGAGTGGCTTATGATGCCACAGCTGTTTGCAGAAGCGATGTGGTTTATGCCAAGCCCTGCTTTCCTCTCAGAGTCTGGGCTTTTGGTACATGCTAGACAGAACCGATAAAAACCTTGGGCACTGGGTCGTTCTTGAGCATCTCAGGTAAACAGCACTTGGCGTGTGTTATCACAGATCCTTCCCGGACAAGTCAAACGTGTCCTGTGACTCCACTGGATGAGTATTCCTGGGACTTGTGCCTGGTCGGCTGCCTCCAGAGCTCACCCCTGTGCCTTTTCCCTCTGCCGATTCTGCTTTGTATCATTCGGCTGGAATGAGTCATAGCCAGGAGTATGACTACGTGCTGAGTCTCATGAGTCTTCCTAGCAAATCATCAAACCTGGGGATAGTCTTGGGGGCCCCAACACAGTAATATTTTCCTAGAAAATTTTCTGTTTAAGTGACAATTTCTAATTTGCTGTCATAAATGTGTTCATAGTACTCATATGTTATCTTTTTAATTCTTTTAGAAGTAAATATTGTTCCTTTTGTATTAAATGTTCCACATTTAGTATTATTTATTAGGGTATTTTTTTTTTCTTTTTTCTTAATGAGTCTGTAACAGTTCGTTCATTTCTCGAGTCTTTTTAAAGAAACTTTTGGGGATGTCTCGATCCTCTGCTGCATCCTGTTTCCTGTTGCATTGCTGTCTTCTCGTATCTTCATCAGATAGTCAGGCTTCTC